CACCCTCGTAGCTGCTCAGCCACGTAACCGGAGTCCCGTTGACAGTCGTAGGCGACCTTCTGCAGACGACCGTCGGGAAGGAGACGTAGTAGGCTCCCTGGGTGTCATAGCCATCACGGGCCTCCTGGTGACCGAAGTCGTTGCCGGAGTAGTCGTCCTTCACGGCGTAGTTGAAGTCGTACTTGCAGGAGCCTGAACATGAAGGTCAAATTAGTTCGTGTTGAATATGAATAACAGATACAATATATGCATTTATGAGATACATGTAAGCAGTTACTGGTTAATAAGAGTTTTCTCACGTCATAGGTTGCAGGAGGAGCATATCCGTAGGAAGGCTGTGAAGGAGCAGCCAGAGTGACGGCCACAAGGGCGAGAGCGACGACGGTCTGAAAGTAGACACAAACGTTGAAATGAAAATAATTTCTAATACAATATAGCATACTCACGTACATACATTTGTATGTACACTGAAATATAAGATTTTACGTGATACAATAGGAGGATGGGGATTGTCACCTTAGTGAACATGATGGTGAAGGTAGATCGAGTGTGATACTCAGAACACCGAGCAGTTCGCTTTTATACTCCGTGACTGAAAGGAGACACGCCCCTTCGCCCTCCCTTTCCCTCCTCTAACCGACCTTTACCTTGGGTAGGGAAGACGTAAGCAGTTTCGGTTGTCCAAAGTGTGGATGATGATAAGGCTTATCGTGTTTATTTATAAAAAGTGTGGTTTTATGTTTATCTTATTTTCTGATTCTACATCTATGCACATTGACCCTTCTGTTGTTGGTCGGCGCTTGACCAAATTCCACTGGACCAGTCATTAGCCATCATTAATTCTATACTTGGTTCCCGCAAACAATCTGCATTTTGCAGAGTACTGCAGTACTAGAAGAATAACAGTAATATATATATATTATATAATACATAATATATATATATATATATATATATATATATATATATATATATATTATATATATATAATATATATATATATATATATATATATATATATATATATATATGTAGTCGTTGGAAAGCAGAGCAGAATAAAATACACGATCTTAAATTATGTCAATATTCATTAAACATTATTCTCATACAGAAATATCTATCTATTGCCATAATCATATCAACATCTATATTCCAGTACTGACTCCATATTGGATATTGAAAATAATGCAAAAGTCAATTTTTTTTTCTTAAAGATCATTACGATTATTCTCCCTCTTGTAGTTTAAATTCTTCTGTTTTATCCTTCATAAATCAGCTTTCGGGTTATTCACCAATTATATGTCCAAACGTTCTGTAACGTTAACAGAAAAGATTTCTCCCCCTTTACGTCGCCTCATTTCCTGTCACGAAACAAAGTTGTAGCAAAAGGTTATGGCTTTATAATGTTAATTATCATGGCAATACTAGCAAATGGTAAAATTTGCTTATCCGAAAATACAAAAAAAAAAAAAAAAAAAAAAAATCTGGCTATATACCCAAGTACGAAATACAAAAATCATTATACATCTTTCATATGCCACATACCCAGTAACCGCTTTAGCTACATCTTCATTAAATCCTATATCAACAAAATATGACAAATAACATACACTCTACACATCTCTTTACTGTTAGGCTAGTAATGAGCTAATATTCCAAAATCATCATTGGAATTATCAATATTTTACTTTAGCCCAGTATCAAGTAGTTTATACCTGGGCTTGGGAAAAAGCCGGTGTCAAGCTGCTCACCTTCAATGATCCGCAATTTTGATGTTTACCAGGGAAATTTACAAAAAAGCATCGTACAAAGATTTACCAGACAGGGGAGAAACCTCGAACCCGCGAATATGTATTTACTAGCCAGGGAAGAAGTATGTGCAGAAATGTATATAGATGATCTGACACAAGGTATGACAATACTCAGTAGGACGTCTTATTGTGGAACTATAGTAAACATCTAATTTTTACCCTGTCGCGCCTAGATATTTCTGTTTGTTTATTTAGCTGTATTATTAAGAAACTTAAAAAAGTACGTAAATGCCATACCCATTTTTGGTAACACATTGTACTGTACTAAGTACTAATTTAATAGCAATACAAACGCATACAGAAAGCACTATCGATCAGCTTATGTTGATGATAAAAATATCACATGAAATCTCAATCGAGGTAATAACATATGTGACATAAGACTAGTGGTTCAAGTGTAAGACAGAGTAACATGGCAATGAGTCTGCCTTTTTCCTCTCTAATTGACTCTTATCCCACCTCCATCATTAAAGGGAAATTACAAGTGGATAAATGGATAAATTAATGAACAAGTGGATAAAGAAATGAATAAAAAGGGGATAAATAAATTGCAGCTGCTTTGATATCTACCACTGGACCACGAAATATACGTAGATAAAGACCTGTGTGGGTATGTTTACATAAAATGCAAACAATTATAGGAATTTATACGACTTAGGTTGCTAGATGAACGTATCGTTAGTATTCCA